TCTGTGGTACAAGGGTAAGAATCCCAATTTTGAACATCTAGATTTCCATGAACCTCTTTACTGTTTTAAAATTCTTATGGCAAACAAATGTATAAAATGTTCCCCAGGGCAGCAAGAATCAACTTTATTTCAGGGGGTTCTGTGTATTTACAGATGAATCTCAGATTGCTAGGAGGTAAAAGTGCTGAGCCTATCTGTAAAATTGTAACACTGTTAAAACATTAAAAACCCCTTCTGCTTCCAAAATATTTCAGTCATTCTTTTAGAGAAACACTTCTAAAATACACTTATACTACTATGTGGACACCTGCTTCATGTCTTCAGATTGATTTTATGTAAAACTTTTAAGACTAATAAATAACATGAGAAGTAAAACCACTCATGATTTCTAAACAAAAAGTCTGTTCATTTTCATAGTGATGCAGTGGGCTGGTGCCAAAATAGTTCCTAATTCAGTGATGTATCAAAATATTCAAATTAAAAAAAAAAAAAAAATCATCAGGTGTGATTATTTTTTTAAGTACTTTTGAAATGGTTGCATTTAAAGAATCGTCTCAGATCCATTCACAATAAAACAAGCATTGCACTGGTGAAACTTCTGGTTGTGTTGAAATTGCAGAATGAACACCATGTTGATGGTTTGTTTATTTTTATAATGTAAATACAGTTCAGTGAACTTGAAGCCAAATTCAATGTATTTCTCCAGATTTGTTCTCATAAATAATCCCTGAGGAAAAATGTCTGTGTTAGGTGGCTGCTTTTTAATTTTGTTTTGACAGTTCTGTTGTTCATAATTATAATAGATATTCAGTTGCTGAAGAATAACCCTGTGTAGGTGTAACTTTATGTTTTGGCTCAGACTAACTTCTGGATCAAATATTCAAATTTTCTATTGAGTAAAACTCCTAGGTTCTAAATGGCAAACTTCTCAGTAACCAAAAATTGTTAAAGGAAGAAAGTTTTTGCTGAGGTACAATACCAATGTGAATAGCCACAAAATTAATTTGTTAAAAAAAATACTTTTTATAAATATTTGTGTTTTGACCAGCAGTCCAAAAATATAGCAACAAGACCAGCAAATTTTATTACGTGATTCTATGCATCTAATTCTGTATTCACATTGAAACAACATTTATTACCTTTTCAAATTATAGTATACATTTTTCTTTACAGATAAGCAAACAATATATAAAATTAATGTTCTATAAAATTATAAACCTTTGTGTTTCTAAAGAATAAGGGAGTCTAAAATGTTTAGTTGAAAACATTCACATTAATTTGACCAAAGATTTATATTCTTCTTCTGTGGCTCTTGAAACTTCTTGTCAAGCACATTGTCAGTCTTGGTTGCTCACTGTGCAGCCTTCTTGATGCTTAACCTATACTGTCATCTGCAAAAGATACTCCCTACTTTCTGTTGCACCATACATCATATTAGTTTTTCACTATGAAACCAGCATTTTGTTGTTTCTTCCATATGGGCTGGGGCAGCTCTTCAACTACTGTAAACTGTTACAGCTCTAGCAAAGCTGGAAGACCTTTCTCACCAAATCTAGTTATTTTAAACAGGGATCTTTTTATGTAGCAAGTTAAACTAGCAACAGGTATATTGACCTGCATGTTTGCTGTTACTGTCCTGGGTTGAGTGAGTGGTGGAGTTTTTTTAGTGGCAGGGGAGGGGGTATAGGGGCGTCCCCCTGTGAGAAGCTTCTCGAAGCTCCCCCGGCTCCACGTCAGCTCCACTTCTGTTTGGGAAATTGAGCCAATCAGCTGCGCCTCTGCGACAACGTATTTAAGAAGGGATGTGGTGACGGGCAGTGGGACTTGTGAGGAGGAGTTGCTGCAGCTGCATGAACACCAAGGTCAGTGGAGGAACGGAGGAAGAAAGGAGGGGGGAGGTGTGCCGGAGCAGAGACCCCCCTGTATCCTGTGGGGAGACGGCAGGGCAGCCCCCCCCTGCCACCCATGAAGATCTATGGTGGAGCAGACATTGATTTACGGCCTGTGGCTCCTGCTCGCCTGATCAAGGTGCTGTGCCAGAAGAAGGCCAGGATCTCATGGGAAAAGGTAGCCCCGCTGCTGTAATTCAGTGCTGGGAGGATTGCAGCATGCGGGGGAGTCCCACGCCGGAGCAGCTCGGGAAGGGCTGCAGCCCGTGGGAGGGAATCCAGTCGGAGGAAGTTAGTGACCCATGACGGAGCAGTGTGGGGAACGCTGCGGCCTGTGGGAGGAACTCATGTCAGAGAAAGTTTGTGGAGGACTGTCTCCTGTGAGAGGGGGACCACGATGGAGCAGGAGGAATGAGTTTCGGACACTCCCCTCACCAAAGATGAAGGAAGTGGCAGCGCTGACTGCACCCCCCATTCCCTGCCCCTGCGCCACTGGGGGAGGAGGTAGAGATATCGGGAGCAGAGCTGAGCCTGGGAAGAAGGGAGGGGTGGGGGGAAGGTGTTCTCAAGATGTAGCAATGCTTCTCACTGTCCTACTCTGTTATGTGTTGTTAGTGTCTGTAATAAATGTATGTTCTTTTTTTTCTTCCCCTAATGAGTCTGCCTCTTGCTCGTGATCATAAAAGGGGGATTTTTCCCCATCCCAGTCCTATCTCGAACCCCAAGCGTGGCTCTCTGTCGCTTCTCATTGCCGGAGGGGATGGGAGAGAGAGCTGCTGCATTGTGGTTGGCTGCCAACCAGGCCTAAACCACGACAGTTACAAAGAAATAACAGAAAATTACAGTCATTTTCCTTTTTAAAATCCTAGTGAACACAATTTTATAAAGCAATATAATCTTTTTTTGCTATGCATAGCTTATTTAATTTTCCAGCAAATGTCTTCTTAGAAGCTCCTTTGAAAGGATAATTATGAAATTCAAGGTACTTCAAATGATCAAACCTCAGTCAGGAGTTTGACCCTGAACCTCTTAGGTGGGAGAAAATTCAGAGCACAGCAGACCTTGTTCCTTGTGCGGGTTCCCAGGAAACTGGCTGGTTTGGCTGCTGGCTGAGGCTGGCTGGTGGGTGCGTACAGCCCCTTCCTGGCAGGCGTTCAGACCTGGTGAGATTTTTGTAGTTGTCACCCACAGGGGAAGAGACAAGTGTTTTGAACCCATAAGGACTTCAGCTTTATTTTGGAAACATGAGGGTTGAACGCTACAAAAGCTGAAGACTGATTCCTTTACAGGCATGAATGGCATACACGATATGAAAACCCAGTACCTTTTCTTTTAAATACATGGGTATCAAGATAGCAATCTTAAATTAATAGGATTTGTATCTTCCTCAGACTTACATAGGTACACCAGGATAAGCCATTGTACAGTACGAATGAATGTCACATATTTAAATGGTTGATCCCTATGCTGATAAAACTGTTTCAAATCATCAGCCAATCACATTAATTTTTTTTTTGGGGGGTGGGTATTCATCAAGACAATATTGTTTCCAAGTCTTACATCAAGGGAAATTATAATCCTCCATTCCTTGTGATTTTGGGATGATGCTCCATATAGAACTGTAGAAGGAAAATGTACCTTAGCTTTCCAATTCCAGTGATTTAATTCATGACCGAATGCTTTTAAGTGGCATGCAGTACCTTGAAGGATTACAGCCAATGTATAGTTCCCAATAGGTCAGTCCTAAGGACTGAACCTAGTATGTAATATATGATTAACCTTTGTTGCCATCAAAACATACAATGGCAGTTCAAAACTCATTGGCACATTGGCATTGGTTTTATGTTAGATGAACAGAAAGGCTGGATCACAATTATACAAGCTGTCTTCATTTATCCCCAGTTTTATTATATTTGTATTTCATCTAATTTGTTCCAATTGTTAATGTTTTATATATTGGAAGAGGTACTGCCTATGAAGTATTTTATTGTATAAGGTTCAAACTGGCAGTGATTAGAAGTGAGCCAGCTTGTCTTCACTTGGCTTTGAAATTGCAGGCTGCACCCCATGTCTGCATAAAACATGGTCTCAGGTAAACTTTTAGTAAAACAGTTTAATTTGTTTAAAAGTATGCTTATTTTTGACTACACATACAATTCAGTTCTTTTAAAGTTTCACTAAAAAAACACTGGTCCATTGAAAATAAGATGACATATATTACTAGAAGTCAGGAATCCTATTTACTTACTTTAAATTTCTGTTTTAAGGCTACCGTTGAGATCACGTTACTTCAACTTGGTTTCTAAGGAAACTAAAGTCTACACACTAATAACCATACAACAGTAAAAAAGCAAAAAAAACCCTACCCCAGTAGCTCTCCATAGTGGACTTATATAGAGCAGTTTCAAAATACTTTATTGTAACTCAAAAAATACATTACGTCATTCTGTTCACATTTTGCCATATAAAAAGTGAACATAAACTGTTAAAAAAAAAAGTACAACTTAAAATAATCTTCACAGACGTACTCCTTTACATTATTATTTTCATTAGGTAATCTTTTTACACTGGAAAAGGATTCTTTAGCTGGAAAACACTTTATAAAGGATCAAACATTTTGTTTGTATACCACACATAGCTTGGATCTTTGAAAAATTCCTGTCCTTAATTGCTTATACAAAATGATTCATGGTGCAAATTGGTATTCATATAACTTCTTATTATGTGCATTAATTTATATTTTTCCTTTGTATGGGCATCTAAAGATTAGATTTATAGGTAGTGCTGAAGTGCATTTTATTTTGTCTTGAAATCAAGATTGCAACATACTTTAAAGTGTATTCACATTTTGTATGGATTTCAAACTATTGTCATCGTGATGATGGTTTTGGGCGTTTTGTGGGAGGAGGGTTGTATCTCAGAGTATCGGTTTGGTTAAATACAATACATGGACAAAAGACAAAGTAAGTTTTAAGGAGTTTTATGAAAAACAGTATTTTTCCCAAGTGTGAAAAACAGCATACAAAAATCTGTAGGGCTAAGTTCTTACATGTTTGGTTTTTTTTTTTTTTTAACCTATTTTTAATGGAAAAAATAATTGGAGCAGAATACAAAAAAATAGCTATTTTCTCCTTGAAAATACTTTTGATACTGTCAAAATAAACTTTTCATTAGAAGATGAAAATGTCATTTTCTTCAACAGCTGTGTTTGGATTAAAGTCTGAAATTTCAATTTTGTCAAGGAAGAAATTTTTTGTGAAGAGAAAAATACCCATTTCAACTGACTATAATATATAATATATGCAGGATATATATATATATATATATATATATAGGTACACATGCAGGAATACAGAGCCAGCATCTCCGCTGGTCTAAAACATCTAAGTGTCTCTGAAGTCACAACTTGCCTAACTAACATCAGCTGTGAATCTCACCTAACAAGGAAGTTTTGGCTTATCTCACATTCACCTCTCTATGGAATGCTGGAGCCAGTTTCTGAACACCATGATTCTGATATAAAAGGCATAAATATAGTAGTACAGGGAACTACAGAGCTAACCTCCTGAACACTGGAATGTGTCAGTGGCAAAAAACAGAGGTATGGCTGTAATGTTCCTTAATAATGTAGTCTTGAAAAACTACTGAAGTCAAGCTTGTCTATAAGAAGGCTACGAAAATTCTTTTCACGTCTTCAGAAAAACTGTGTTTGCAATGTAATTCTTGAAGACTACTTAAGACTAAGACCACTTAAAATGATATGAATTTTTCAGGTCTCAGGATAGAGCCTTCAATGTACTGGTTACTGACCAATGTGGTACTTTTATTTGAGTGAGCAATTCCAGAAATGTGTTTTCTAGGTGGTACTCGTTTTACTTCTAAAGCTTTTAACAAATATGTATATAAAAGCTGCTTCTACAGCACAGTAATAGTAACTGCGGTATTTTCAGGCAAGCACACCAAGTTCAACTATGCTGATGACTCTGAACTTCCATGTTAAAAAGAAAGCTCCCTGATGACATTTATTGGTACCCAAATTTGTAAAGCTGTACCTTAATGTGTTTTAGTATCTAACTGCACATTTCTACATACCAGCCTTTCAGGATGATACTGAATGAGGCCATTGAGCAGTACTACACAAGAAATGTAGTGAACAATATTTCAGAACCTAACTTGATTCATTTTAATTTTCTAGTTGCATTGAAGAATATACCATTTTGCCGAGTGCAACTCACACTTCTGTATTTTACTTTTTTTGGCATGCTCTGGGCTCTTTACAGTTGTTTTCAAAACTGCCATTAAAGTATCAGGTATCCTGCAGTAAGGGCGGCAGAATTTAAAGATGATGAAGAGTCTCATCTGACAGGGAGCAGCTACTCTTGATTTCCAGTGCTTTCTCCAGACTGTTTCAAGTGATGGAATCTTATAATTTGTCTTGGAGAATTTTCACTATGATATATATGTTTAATTGAGGGGAAAAAAATCTATGCTTGTGAGTATGTAACTTCAGGTGGATGGAGCTGAACTGAATGTACCTAAAATCTGGATAGCTCCCCCACTAAGCTATTATAAAATATATTTATCAGTGCTTGATTTTTTTATGCTGATCTTTATAAAAAGTACAATGCTTGCTTCTACTAATGATTTGGTTCCAGAGAAGAAATTTAATTGTGGCTAAGGAAGTCCTTGCTACAACATTCAGAGATGCACTTCTTTGAATCATCAAATTCAGAGCAATGCCACTGACTTCACTGGTTTTACAGAAGATTTGTGTGCTTCATCAGAGATAAGCATCAGGCCTCAAGATTTTTTCCCCTACAGACTTATATTCCTCATGTTTCCTGAGTTACAGAACCAGCTCTACTCTGTTGCGAAGTTCAAAAGTAGCAGTGATTCTCCTTCAGTATTTGATTTGGTTATCTGAGTTGAAAGTGGAGATACTTCAGGCGAGAAGTTATCAATGCTTCTATGGAACATTTAAATACTGAAATGTTTGAAAAATTTCTGCTACACGTTGCTTAGAATGGTATAGGATGTAATTATGGGAATGACAGATCTCAGTGTTAAGCTCATTTTTTGTTCTGCTTTTGAGTGGAAAGGCAAACTGAAGACCGAACTAGTCTGGTTGAGGACTTCTAAATCCTCCTTTGTTAATTTTGCTCTCTCAAATTTGAAACACCACTCCCTCTCCCTGCAAGGTGCCCAAGGCAGATGGCCATCCTTCCTGTCTGAATGGTGACGGGCCTTCTCCAGGCTGGCGAGAATGTTGTTCCACAGGACCATCCAGTCAAGGAGGACACGCAAAGGGACCTTCCACCATTCTCTTCTAAGACAAAGCTTAGCAAATAACTACAACAGAATGCAAGTTTGGTCAATTTAAGAATTCAGCAGAGAGGCTTCTACTGTACCTAGCAGATCGGAACTTGAGCTCATGATAACATTGCACAAAGCTGTGATAAATGAAAGTGATTGGCAAGGCTAATAAAACGATGCCACTAACCACACAAATTCCTCCAAGAATCCTTCCAGGTACAGTGATGGGACACATGTCACCATAACCAACCGTGGTCATTGAGATGATCACCCACCAACAAGCAGCAGGAATGCTGGCATAATCCTTATTCTTTGTTCCCAAGTCCAGCCCATTTTCAAGAAGCTGGGAAAGTGCACTGAAAATTGCCATAGCAACACAGATAAAGACAAGTAGCATCACCATCTCTCTGTAACAACGCTTCAGAGTCAGACCAAGTGTTTGAAGGCCAATGAAATGACGAGCCAGTTTAATCACCCAAAAAATCCTCATCATTCTTAAGACCCTCAAGGTGACTCCAGCCCTCTGAAGCTGCGAGTTTTCCCCTGTGAAAACTGTCATTAGAACAGAGATGTAGTAGGGAGTAATTGCCAGTAAATCAATGATGTTGAGAGGTCTTCTGACAAACTCACACTTGTTTTTGGAGACGATGAACCTCACAATGCACTCTGCAGTGAACCAGCCTATGCAGATAGCTTCAATTATCCTGTCAAAAGAAACAGAGTACAGTATTTATCTTCTGTGCAAAAGCTTTAGGAGATGTTTGGTTTGTTCACAGATATTACCAAATTGACACTCAGACCTCCACAAACAACAAACAGAATGCCATGCTATTCTTATCCTACACATGGTAGCACCAGATTTCAGCAACTAATCCGAGGATCTAGTGAGGAGTTTAAACTGATCATTGCTAAGAATTCACTCACTGATCATTTTCTCTGAATTATAGATTGCTACTGGTCCTAATACTGGGCAAATATGCCTACAAAAACTGGAACCCTACAGGAAATGTATGCCACTGATGCCAGCATGTAATGTTATCTAGAACACACTTTTTTTTTTTTTTTTGGTTGGGTTTTGGGGGAATTTGTTCATTTTCCTGTTTGTTTGAAATCTGTTTTAAATCTGTGGCTTGATCTACTTGGGAACACCAAGGACTGTGGATCGGTGAACTGGCTGGTTATGAACAGCAGTGTATAGAACCAGACTGTTAAACTAAAATGGAAGTGAAGATGGAGTAGGCAGAAATCAGCTTTTGCATTGGATGATTCATGCAACTGGCTCTTCAGAAGCCGACCTAATCCAGTCTGTCCAATTTGTATCTCAAACAGGGGCTTACCTAGAATTTATTTTGTATTCAGAACTTTATAGGTACTGTCACTAAATACAGATGGTATTTTATTTTTCATCATTGGGTACACAAATTAATAAGCTTGTGTCCTCTCATCTACCACTATGCTCTGCATTACTGAATTTTTTTGTTTTAAATGTAACTTCACCTAAACTGTGCTGCAGCAAAAATGTCAAGGTAACCAGAGCAATGGGTAAGATCATCTTGCCTAATACAAATAATGGCCTTAAGAAAAGAAATCCTGGAAGGTGATTTCAGTATGTTCTTAAATATTTTCAAGTCCCGGTGCAGTGAATGAGACTTGATAATATCTCAACTTGAAACCAGTGGAAGGTAGAAACAGAAGATTAAAATGTTGCTCTAACATTATTTAGTAACTGTTGTGCATGTAGTCTCAAATCTGCCATCTGAAAATAACCCTTTTCTTAAGAATTCAGACTGTGCTTATGTGAGCTTGGGGATTTGAAAATACTACATGCTATCAGAGCTGGTTTGCTACTGCAGGGATCCTAACAAGGTAGTGTCTGTAAAAATGTAATGATTTGCAAGCAGTAATCCGACTGTCATTTCAAACCTAACATTCTGCTTCCCTAACATATCTGCATAATTTTTTACCGGTTTTGAAATCTATAGTGGCCTGTTGGAAAGACAGTATTCTTCTGTAACTGCTATAATTATACCAATAGTCTCTATAAACTAACTTTCATATAAGTTTGATACACTAGTTTTTATTTATTTTTTACTAATTTCTTTTTATTCATTCATTCACTTTCGTTTTACACTAAAAAATGGAGGAAACAGTAACGATCAGTTGATATAAAGTCATAAGGTACATTGCAATTCCAGCCACAGCAAATTTAAATGAACATAAATTACTTAGAAATAATTATTCACATAAAATCAGACCTTGTTTTTCTTGTTTCATGAATAACAGTGGAAGTTCTGTAAACAAGTGGCCTTTCTTCATAAAGGGCTTATAAAACCCTTGTTCATGTTAGCCCCTTTTGATAGGAAGATCTGTGAATTTCAAAACTAGCTTGCTCTTAAGAATTATATGTTCTCTTAAAAATTAAGCTTTTGAAAATACTACGACTTCTTTTAATAATGGCAGGAAGTGATAACTAACTCAGATGCAGATTTAATTTCTTTTTAAAAATGCTTAGATCTAAACAAAAGTCGTGTACATAATATGTGAAAGTTACTGCATGAATGTGGATTCTTGTTCCTTTATGTTGGAGGAAAAAAAAAAAAAAAGAGAAAAAGGATAATTTCTCTTAAATCTTTTTTACACATGATGAGGAAATACCTAAGCCTTTCCCTAGTCAAACAGACTCAAGATCATGGTAATAGACACACCGAAGTCTGAATGTACTTATATGTAGGCTAGTTGAGATCTCATGTAATGACTAAAAGAAAAATTGTATCTGGATAGAATGTTGTAGCCAGGAATATTCAACAATTCCAACAGACTGTTTCATTACATTTTATGAGATTTCTCTGGTAGTGCTGCCAGTATCCTATGACATGGAGCATTTAAATGAAAAAGCAATTTGTAATTATACAATTTAAAGCTTTTTAACTGGGTATTGCCTCCTGATGCCCTGATAATATTGGAAATGTGATTCCTCCATTCTGTCACAAATTTGGCAGGTTATCTCTGAGTTGAGCTTTAAGGAACTTAGGTCCTGATCATTGTGATTCAGTAGAAGTCCTCTTTATGAATCAACACTGATTCAGTGGTCCGCTGTAACTTTGGGGAATAGTTGCACAAGTGAAAATACAGGAAATGTGATCAATCCATTGTTTTAATCTGGCAGTTCCTAGCACAAGAGATACTGTAAATCAGTTATACTTCAGTCGGAAGGACTGGAGAAGCCTTTTATTGTAGAATGGACTTGAAGAGAGCTAAGGAGCGTCACTGATGCAAAAATGACAAAGCAAGATCAAGACAGTGGGAGATGCATTACTGCCACTCCATTATACGTTGCACTTTCATTTATCCATTCTACATCTATCCTTCTTTCTCATCAATTATACTCATCCTGTCTGGGGAGAAGATAATGAAGGGTGTCCCTTATTTTTTTCTTTCTTCTCCTTACTTCTTAGCCACCAAATATTTTTCATTTTTCCTCTCTTGTCACTGCTTTTGCCTTTGTAGATGGATTTCGGCAGGTCTGGTAAATCACGTAAAAGTGTGTGCTTTGGTGAGAAGAACTAGAAACCTCTGGCCTGTTGGGAAATCTGGAGTGCTACATACTATGTTTCCACTTTCAGATTAAGTCTCCCTCTCCCTCTCCTTTAGTGACTCATCTTTATAGCTAACCTTTTTAATGGATAAACAACATCTATTAAAGAAAGCAGATTTAACAGTTAGTCCTCAAGACAACTTGAGTATGAAGTTAAAGCCAAATAAAATGCATGCACTTAGAAGACTAAAGTTGCTGTATGTTCTGTAAGCAATTCTTAAAATATTTGCTGCAGATTCACATGACAGACTCCCTTTTAGTGTCTATTCCTGGAATAATGCTCTATTAAAATCTGTAACTATATAATGAAATTATGAGCTTTATTTGGTAAAATGTAGTACCTATTTTATAAACTTCCATCACAGTTTTTGGTTGGCTTTTTCCCCCCATCAGTTCAGTTTTTAAATAGCTGGTATTCAAAAAGGAGAGGGCAAATTAATAACATATTCATAAAGTGTTTCCTTGAAGATTCCCCACAAAATTTAGAAATAATCAGAGAAAATACTAAGTCCCAATTTTTATACAATTACATGTTATTTCTGCTCAAACTTACTGTTCATTGTCCCAGACTTAAGCATGTGAAAGAAGGTTCTCCTAAAATGTTAAGCCTCTTGATACTTAACAGTCTGTCAAGATTGCTCTAATGAGTCTTTTGTCCATAAATGAAAAATCAAGCCTTTGTGAGCCTTGCTTCTACTGTAATCTCATCACTGTTCAATTTTTTGTTCCATCTGATAACTTCCTTTTGGAATAAGTTATTTTATGTACAATGTGTTAAACCACTTCAGAAATTATTTTTTCAGTCACTAACAAGACTAGTTTATTATTACTAAAAAAATCATATTGTGAATGTCTTAGAATAGTTCAACTCAGCATTATTCTTTACCCTGGCATGCCAATTTGTATACTTACAATATCCCCTGATGAGCTGGCTGAAATCTAGCCAAAATATTCGTTAGTGGCACTATTATCTATTAAGCTCGTAAATAAAACATACACATCAACGGGACACATGACAAAAACAGATGATATGATCAAAGACAATATATGACAAGGTTAATGATTAAAGTCTGTCAGCACTGATTTGTTGAATTGTTGCTAAAGCCTATTTCCATGTAAAGCACCTGCAACCTGAAAAACATACAAGCAGTAGCCAGAATGATCAAATCCTGCTCTGGAAGACTCCTAGTTGTTTCAGCAAATGTCTTTTTAATTGTCTTGAAATCAACAGGGCTTCTGTCTCACTACAAACTGTAGAGTAAGAGCCATGGAACAGATAGCTTCCCTGTATTAAAAACCTCACTGGCTTTTTTTCATTCTCTCTCTGCTTTGGTAGCAGTATGTCTTGATGCATTAAACTCCAGTGCCTTATCTGGGAGGCTGCAGTGACCCAGCACTCCCCAGGGAAGGGGCAAATGCCTTTCACAGCTCTCAGGGGATACCTGGATATGAAGAGCTCGGGTCCTCATCATCTTTTCCATGTATTTTGAACACAAGCGGCACCTAGCCCTGGTGAGTTCGTTACGGTTCTACTGCCACCAGACAGTGATACATGTCTGTCCTTTTTACCTATATTTTTCAAAAAGCTCATAAATTCATTAGAAAAATCCACATCCGTGTGGATACAAACTTAGGTCTGTAGTTCAATTCTTCACCTTCGGTCTCCTGTTTTAATTTAGCAAAAGTGTGCTGTTCAGGTTAGATCTTACCCAGGAAAGAAGTTGGAGTTGTTTCTTTTTTTTTTTTTTTTAACAGATGTTGGACATCAGCATTCGGGTGTTCTGAAATTCCACCACCATAAAGGAATAATGATTTTTGTGTGTCTAAAATTCAATTGCAACTTTTTAAGCTGATGTTTTGCAGAAATTAAAAAAAAAAAGCCCACTGGCATCTGTTGAGAAATGCTGTTTGGAGAAGTTACTGTGTTTATTTGCTTTTGCTTAAGAACACTGCAATCATATAGGCTTGATAATCGAGTGATTCTCTCAATACAAATGTAATCATGATTACTGGATGGAAAAGGGGCAACAGTCTCTCCCCTGTGCTAACAAGCTACTTGTATTTAGCGTTAGAAGAATAGTTTAAAGGCAGGTAGATGGAACTGTGCTGGCAGTAAGTCAAGCAGCTTCAAATGACTTCCTATTACAGGCTTGAGAAGCTCTCCCTGGAAGATGATGCTTACGATCAGCATGTGGACAGGTCCCTGATCAGAGACTCGCAGTATGCATCTGTTGGCACAGTTCAGAGGAGAGCAGAGATGACTTGAAATTGCCAGAAGCAACAGAATGGGAGACAGGTGTCCCTGCTGTCTGCTCCTAAATGGTGCAAATCTGATGCAAATCTTTAGCTCTGATAAGTGAAACATGCCAAGGCAGGGAAGAGAGCAAAAATCTTAAAATACAAGAAATTTAATAGCTCATCCCTCATCCTGAGAATGGACCTGGGGAAGGTAATCCCTCTACAAATCAGGGAAGCGTACTGTCAGTGTCTGCAAGATCCATGAAATTCAGATGTTGGATTCCCTATCCCTCTCTCCTTAAAAAGGCTTACTCACGGAGTTCTCTGTTGCCCTCTAAAGGGTGTTACTCCAAAGGATTAGAAATAGCTGTAGGCTGTTCACCCTTTGAGAGTGTGGTCACCAGGAAAAGTCCTAACAACATCATGGTTTCTGAAAAAAAGTTTGGTGGACTTATTTCCTCTTCTGGTGAATAGGTATTCATACAAGAAAAATAAACACAGCTGGTATTAGCTGGCAGCCACAGTACCCCTCACTGCAAACCTCATTAGAGGCTGATTTTGTAAATGACAGAGTTAGTGACCCCCTCACACCTAGAGATGACGTCCAGGTAAACTGGAGACACTCTGCTAGAGCTGCCCGAAGCGGTTCTGGGGACGGTCACCACAGTTCAGCCACAGAAATTATCCACGTGGCACCTTTCTGAACTGTAGCATGGCACTGAGGGAAGGATAGGGGTTTTTATTAGCAAGCATGTGAGTGACTAAAAATATCAAAGCTGCTGAATTCCATGAGGTAGTTCTCACCTCTTCTAAGCAGTGGCTTATGCTGATCTGAATAGTCGGTTATATCAAAAATCTACAGCTTAAGGACTTTTAGATAAGCCCATTCAATTTTAATTTCTAAAACGTTCAAAATACGTTTTTTATGATAATGTAAATTCTTCATACTAGTAATTCATGTTACATGAGTCAAAACTCGCTTGTATACAGCATTAATGTCACAATTTCTCTAAACCAAAAAAAGAATTTAAATTACTGTATTGTCATGTTAGACAGAATTTCTTTATTTTGATGAGGAACCTGGCTTAATAAACAAATGACAGAATTTGGCTTCAAACTTTTAAGTGTATCAGAAACTAGTGGCCAGATTTTTAAAAGCCTTCTCACCTAAGATGGACAGTATTGCCAGAGTGCACAATCCCAGACACTCCTGTGTGATTTCTGTGGTCAGACTTTCAAATAAGCCACACATCTACTTAGGTTTTGAAAACTTAACTCATTTTAAATAAAATAACTACAAACAAAAGAAAAATAAAATAAAAACAAATAAAGGGAAATAAAGTCAGATGACAGCTGGGCATGTTAGGTCAAATTCTGTGGCATGTTTAAGTAGTTGGAACTAAACTGGATCACTGAAAAGCAACTGTAGCTCACACCTTTTTTCCCAGACATCTCAGGCTTTTTAGTCACGATGCAGCACACGCAATAAAGAAAGGAGTGGCTCCCGTAAGAGAACAAGGCCACCTGAGCAGGTGACCAGCTGTGGACAGAAAGGAACACATTTCTATCTGTTTTCCATGTGTTGCTATTAAATTGCTATCGGTTCCTGTGCAGCAAGAGCACGTGGGTTAAATCACAGGTGGAACAAACCAGCCTGTATCGGTGTTTAGAGGTGACAGACTTTTGCAAGAAGAAGGTCAGAAACTGTTCAGCCGCAACTTTTAGAGTTACCTCTCTTTTTTTGTTGCAATTCCACAGAGTCCTACAGCTGGTACTGAAGAAACTTGCCCTAGCACTGATAGTGGGTCCTTCTGGTTTTAAAAGCAGCCTTCACTGTCCTGTGAAGTGCTGGGCTACCCTGTACCTTACAAGTATTCAGGACCCCTCATCCTTCAGACACTTGGTATACAATATGCAATTGTTCAGAAGAGTAAAATTCTGTGTGTATATGATACACACATGTTCTTGAAGACAAAGGCACTATGAAAGAAAACTCACGTCATATGCCTTGTTCCTCTGCAAGCTGAACTCTTTCAGTAAGAGAAAAATTGTTGTTGACTCCCACACCGTGAAGATGTGAACAAAGATACGACCGATGCCGTTAATGCTATGGTAGTGTTGCATCTATTTTCCCCTGTCTATTGGGGGTATCTAAGCAATTTGCTGCCTTACAAAAATAACACCCAGAGCATCCACCCTTTGAAATAACCTTTCAAAGCTTAAGTAAGGCTTTTAACTGGAAGAACCTGTAAGAGCAACTTTTGACGTATCTGAATCTAAGCAGGAATCCACACCTTCTCAATCTGTATCTGTTTTCTTTTTCTTCATACAATTAATTCTTTGGCTGAGCTACAGTGAGAAATACAGGTGCAGTTTTCCATTAAGCTAATGGAAACTACAAAAATACTTTCTGAGGAATTAATTTGGCTACTAAGATATAATATATCACATTCCAGTTAACTCTATGGTAAAAGATGATGATTTCATAACGACAAGTCTGCAATTTCACTGTAGGGCCCCTGTAGCAAAGCAGAAGCTGAAAAAACTTTTTGTTGAATAGCCTGCTTTAAAAGAAGGGAGAAGCTAGCAAATAAAAGAAACATTTACTTTTTTCTTTATATGTCATTCTTCTTTATGGGAGAAATCCTACCAGCGTGGTCCTGAGTCTGTTCTCCAGGGAACAGGACACCAATGATACCAAAGTCAGCAGAGTTGCATCAATGTAACCCTAAACTGAGGTCACAGAGCAGATGAAAAAGGGCTTGTTCTTACTAGTAAAGCTCGGGATCGAGCCTTCTACCCCAGGCCCTGGTTTCTGAAACTGTTTTGCAATGGTCAGTGTGCTTACCCACATTTCATCTAAAGGAAATGTAAACATGTGTCACATTCATACACTGGGGCACTTATATGATGCATCTGCAAAAGCTTAATGCGCAGTCTGATCATCTCCTGTGCTCCCCACATACGTAGAGAATCTGAGATGGAAAGGAGCAGGGGTAAGGCTGTTCCCCCATACAAGATCTTACAAGCACAGAACCGTAACAGGCACAGGATCTGCTCCAGCAGAAAGACCTGTACAAATGCACGCGGAGTACACACAGAGTTGTGCTCTTCTCCAAGGAAAAGCGAAGGGAATTGCATTCTTTTAGGGTTTAATCTCCCCCCCCCCCTTTTTTTTTTTTCCACAGCCGTAAGGCCTCACCCTATTTTCCGAGTGTTTGAACTTCTCTACGAGAGTAGGGAGTCCCGTGGCTCCTCAAAGAGGGGGCAATAAGAGCCCCAAGCTCCCGCACAGACGGGAGCGCCCTTACAGAGAGGAGCCGGTGCTCCGCTGGCGCCCGTTCCGCTGCCAGCCCGCCCGCGCCCCGCGCCCCGGGCTGCCCGCACCGCCCGGCCCCGGCCCCGGCCCCGGCGGGAGCCGGAGCTGCAGAGCAGCGCCCGCTCCTCCGAGGCGCCCCCACGTTCCCCCACCCCCCCCTTCACCCCCGCCGGGCACCCCGGTTCGGGGCCGGGGTTTTAAGGCGCGCAGGCGATCTCCGCCGGCGGCGGCTACAGCTATGGACCGTCAGGACGAGGGGCAGGACACACTGGACGGGACACACGGGGACCGGACAGCAGGAAAATAAAGGATCCTCCTACCCTGAGGGCTCCCTCACTGACTCTGCTGTGTACCTGCTCTGCTCCTCCACGCTGCGGTTCTCCGGCGCCCGCCACTCGGGCAGGGTGCTGGCGCACAGCACCACCATGGACACGATGACGAAGAGGATGGAGACGGTGGCCAGGACCTGGGCGGCCACGGAAGACGTGGGCTCCTCGAAAGTCCTCCTCATCCTCTCCAGCCACTTCCCGCCCTCGGCTCCCGGCGGCCGCCGGCCCTTGCCCTCGGGGCCGCCGGCCGGCTCCCCCGGCGGCTCCTCCGCCGCGTAGTAGGTGCACGTCTCGGACATGCGGTCGTCGAGGCGGCGCTGGCAGCAGTAGTCGAGGTGGGAGCCCTCCAGCCCCCAGTAGATCATCTCGTTGTAGAAGGAGAGCTCGCACATGTGCGGCACGAAGCGCAGGTGGCCGTGCCGCACGTACAGCATGATGAAGCCGAAGGCCTCCGAGTGCCGGTCAAAGAAGTACTCGTTCCGCTCCCGGTCGTAGTCGTCGCACACCTCCAGCACGTCCTGCTCCGAGAGGCAGCCGTGCAGGCGGCTCACCCGCCGCAGCGGGAAATCCTTCAGCACCTCCCGAGAGAAGGAGTACCGGGTGCCCCCGACGTTCAACACCACCGAGGGGCCGCGGCCAAAGTTCATGGCTTGGGCGGGACGGAGGAGGGGACGGGCGGGCAGGGCGGCGAGGGCTGCCCCGGCTCTGGCTCCGCTCGCACCGCTGGCGGCTCCCGCTCGGCGACGGGGCGGGCGGGGAGGGAGGGACGGACGGACGGAGGGAAGGAAGGAAGGAAGAAAGGAAGGCGGGAGAGGCGCCCCGGCTGCCGCGCAGGAGCCGGGGCGCGGCGGAGGCTGCGCGCCCCCCCCTCTCCCCGCCGCCGGTGCCGCTCGCAGGTGCGGCCGCGGCCTCAGCGCCGGCGGGCGGGCGCCTCCGCGGGGCCCCGCCGGGGCGGGGGCGCGGTCGCGGGCATGGCGGGGACCGGGGATGCTCCGCGCCGTTCCGCGCCGTTCCGCGCCGCTCCGCGCCGCTGCCGGCTGGCAGGCGAGCGGGGGGCGGCGCGGCGGCGGGGTGGGGACACGCCTCCTCCCCCCGCCCGCGCACATGGCGGAGCGGGGCTCAGCGCGGCGCGGGGGGTGCCGCGGGGCTGCCGCCGACCCCCGGGCTCTCCGGGGAGCGCCCGGGGGAGCCCGGCGGGTAGAAGGCTTCGGCTCCGGCGGGGGAGAACCCGGCCGAGCCCACCCCGCGGAGCGGCACTTGGGCGAAGTTGCCCACCAAACCCAAGGAGCGCTTTGGGGGCGTTTTCCGCCCCCACCCCCCCAAAAAAAAAAAAAAAAAAAAAGCCGCGAGGGAAGCGTTTGAGCACCGCACCGCTCGAGGCCTCCGGCGCCGGTCGCTCCCGTCCCATTTGTTCGCCGCGGACCCCAGCCCCGGCCTTCCCTGCCAAACGCTGGCTTCTTCTCAGAGCCCGTTACCCCCGCACCCCCCCGTACACATCTGGATAAGGGGACGCTTCTTTTTCCCCCCTCACTTAGGGTGTGGACTCCAGGTGCCTTAGGTAGCGCCTTCTTCCCTGCTTCTGCCCACCCCAGTCCCACGGCTGTACTCCTGCAGCTTCCCCCGGTCCCGTACCCTGCACCTGCCCACCCCGTTAAAACACTCATCCGCTGGTATGACCCTCTCTGCTCTCTAAAGCTTTGATTTCATTTGGTTGCATTATGTACAGGGAGTTCTTCATTTCCACTACTGATTTTTAAATTTTTTATTTGGTTGGGGTTTTTTTTTACCCAAATATGACAATTCTCAGGCTGAGGTATTTTCTAGGTTTATTAACTTCTGGAGCATCATGGGGTAAAATCAGCCAAGATACAGCTCTCCCTTTCAGTGGGATGCTTCCAGTTGCAAATGTGCCTCCAGCTGTCAGGAGAAAGGGTGGGTGAGTATATCCTTTCAAAACCAATGCTAAAGATTTGTCAGTTGAGCGCTGTGTCTGTAAAAGGACATCCAGGTTAAACCAGTGGTTTACCATTCCCGTTCTTTGTCGCTCTAGAGGTAGGTGCTTGTCTTTCTCGATTGGGTTTGGGATTTTTTTGTTGTTCTTGTTGCTGCCATGTTACATTCACAGCTGAGATTTGTAAGGCACATACAGGTGTATCAAAATAAATGGATAGTCATCTAAATGTGTAGTAAAAATTATTGTTGTAAAACAGAATGCGATAAGAGCTGCTATTCTTAACCCTATTTGTTATCTTCTAAAAAGTACTTCGAGAAAGATTCGAATAAATGTCCACGTTACCACTGAGAGAGTTCTGCAAGCTCTGCTATGGTTGTTATAGGGAATATCCACTAGAGGTCACGGTTAGTCATTTTTCTCTGATCATTTACAGAGATGACAAGAAACCCACCCAAACTCCAATTACAAAATGTAGTAAAGTGTATATGCCAGCGTGTTGTACCGCCATAAGGTCATTTTTGATCTCTGTTTAGTCATGCTGGTGTCTGTTTTCACATAGCTGGAAAAATTTTCTTTCCTTCCAGCAGTTGCGTTCAGTTAATGTATCTTGGCTGCCTGGTAATTTTACAAGCAACAAACACTATTTTAAACCTCTTCACCTTTCTTTGATGTGTATGCTTCAATATTTCATTCTTTCAGGAACAATTACTAGAATTATCTGTTTAAAAAAAAACGAAATAGCAAAACCTGATTAGAACTCTGACAGTGATAATGAGTTATCCAGGTGCTTCTGGCTTTGCAATTTGTCATGCTTCCTGCTCCGTACATTTTAACCTCCTTCATTCCTTGCAGGGAGCTTACAGAGGAAGAGAGTATAGATAACATGGCATGAAGACATGTATATGCTAATTGCATAGAAACAGGGGTTAGAGTGTATGTTCTAGAAAGCATTTCAAGATGAACAAAGCTTTATGTGCTGTGTTGTGAAGCAGTATGGCAGAACAGGTAAAGTGCTGGGCTGACAAGACTTTATGATGAAGCATTGTAGGTTGTTTTGATGACTATTTCTAGTTTTCAGTTTCTTTTAAATTTAGAATACAATGATTTCCTCCTGCAGAATAACGCTGTCAAACATTCAGTGTAAGCAAAGCTAACCTGGTAACAGCAATGTTTTCTTTTCTTCTGTAGTCTGACATGTTTAAGTTTAGTTATTTTAATTGTAATTACTGACTTTCAATTGATGCGATTTGTTCTATCAAGCTGGTGTCAGTAGTTGTAAACAACATCTTTTTGCACCAAGAGCAGCAATTTACTGGGAACAAAACCTTGGATTTTAGACAGGATTTGTAATTTTTCAGTAAATGTTCTGATTTTTTTGACATTTTGAGATTGCTCACCCCATTGCAGTTGTGAAATAGCTGGTTTATAGTAAATTTGTGGTAATTCACATTGTTTTATGGGAATTACTCAGATTTTACAAGTGTCAGTTCAGTGGTTGTTGTGGTATATTTGTTTTATTTTCCATGAAACTTCACTGAGTGTAACTTTTTTTTGTTCGTGTTGAATTTTGTGACTAAAGGTCTTAAGAAATTTAAAAAAATAGGATGGTGAGCCTGAAAGAGACAAAGCACTTAGGACTTTGTGTGACGGTAAGCATAACGCTCAGTAATATATAAAGAAAAAGACCTTTTTAAAGGCTATTGGGGGGAACAAAAAAGCATTTGAAAGTTCTAGCTCTCCTGATTTGAAAGGTGGTACCTAATTAGTGAAAAAACAAGTGATCCAATAAATCCATTTAAATAGGTCAGCATAGACATTAGTAAAGAGTATTCAACGTATAGGTCAAATGGTAAAATATGAGGTGTAAAGTGAATCTTTAGAAGGACTGAGCTGGCTAATAATCAAAAATATAATAAAGACCTCTTTCAAGTAGTTGAGTTCAGGTGCTTGGGGGGTTGGGTTGGTTTTGGTTTGGATTTTTATGACCTGGAGATACACGCTGGGATGTTGAATCAAAGCAATTACTCTTTTCCTGGTGTTATAGTTGTTATCACTTGCTGCCCAGGAGAAACTTCACAATTAATAGTTATTATGTAAAAATTGCTTTCTTTGTGTCAACAATTATTTTCAATGCTTGTACTGTGCTACTGCATCCTAGGGGGATTTGATGAAGTTGAAATATTTTCTGCAGTTTCCAAATCTTTCTGGCCCCGTGCTGAGGCCGTTGCTCTGTGCTTTGAGTGCGGCTCTATGGTTTTAGAAAAGGGAGTCCTTACTTGCATGTTATATGTGAACAAAGTGGTATATATTGATGGCAGGCATTTTTCATGACTTGGGATGAGTTTCTGTTCCTACTGAGGTAGCTACTGAGTGCTGTTGATTTCAGTGCAAGCAAAATTGGCTTTTGGTTGGGTTGGCTTTTGTCAGGAATCTTGGTTATTTATATGAGAAAAATACATAGGAACTCTAGCTGTGGAGCAAGCTGCCATGATGATAGACTTGCACACACGGAACAAAAAGGTCTTTCTGGTCAGGGAGTGTACAGTATGTAACATGTAAAATTGTGAGGGGAAAAAAACCCAACGGTTTTTGGTATTAAACATGCTGCATTTGGCCATATCTATCTTATTTGACGAGGCAATATATAATGACTAGAACAAATGCTTGAAAAGGTTCTGCATGCACAGATGGACTACAGTTTGCATTTATCTTTAGTTTAGGTCTTGGGGAAAAATGGTTTCAAATATATGTTTTTTCTTTAATCAAACTTCTCAGCACCAAAGCCCCTCTGCTTCGATGTGATTTGTGGGCTAGAAAGAAAACCTTTCAGGAGATGGCCTATTACCACATATAATTACCAAACAAACAGTCTAATGACAGATGCAGTTTGGATTGTCAGTGGCACCTGACATAAGAGTACAAGTTCCCTTGTCACTGAGGTACTTATAAAAATCTGAATAATTTTGAATATGAATGTTTCTAAAAGTGGATGAATGACATTTAGTAGGGAGCTGGGTATTCCCATATATATACATGTGCACAGAATACAATCTGTAGTTGACATTTATAACTAGACTAACTTATTTCATGAAACATGCTAACAATTTGGTAAATCTGGCTATGCACAATTAAGAATCGATACTGGAGACTATGTATTTGTAGGTCAGACTGTAAGCTCTCTTTTAATGTGAGAGACAAACTGCCTTCTCTGTTACCCTTCACCTCCATATCAAGAAAATCCCAGCAAAACTTCTTGTATCTGATGCTGAGCTAATTGTTGAAGGCTATTAAACGTCAATGATCATTGAATCAAATGAAGCCCTCATGGACAGAGATCTTTACTAGCTGGGGTAAACCAGTTTGTTAAATCTGAACTCCAGGCAGGCAGATACAAAGCACAGAAAGAAGGATGTTGCTTGCCTGAGGAAGGTGATTAGAAGGAGACTTGCTAATGGGGAATTCAAAGGCACGAAGATATTCTCACAGGAGAATATAACACAGGAATGTCTTTTCACAGCAGTGAGATCCTTTTCTAAATGCTGACCAAGGGGAAGGGAAACTGTCTGCAGAGAAGATGGAGAGAAATACTGGGATTTTCAGAAGCCATGTGTGTTGGTGAATCCAAAGTATGCTCTCAGAAGAGGAAGAAAACTGGGCCAGATAAATGCATATAAACGTTATTTTGTCACTATCTCTTTTTTGCATTAGCTAACATAAAGTTACTGTTTTGGTTTTTGTAGTGCTTTGTGTGTTTTGTTTTTCTTTTCCCCTTGCATCTTCAGCAAAGGCTATGAGCTCACTTCACTTGCCTAAACATACATGAGTTAGTGCCACTTGAGATGCCCTCCATTTTCCCTATTCTTCACCTGCTGTTGCAGTAGTGCATGAGCCTTCTGTGTCCTGTCCACCAGCCCCCATGGGTGGGCCATATAGGTCCGTATAGGGGATGCTTCATGACCATGTTTAGGTACCTGAATT